TGAAAAGGATCAAACAATAAAAGGAAATGCAAGAAGATATCTCTTTAGGATGACAAACACCCCCGCTGCAGCTGCCCCCACCCTATGTCCACTGACTCTGGGTTCAGCTGCAGCAGTGACAGGCCCTGAGGCTCAGGGTGCTCAGGAGCTCTTTCATTTCTGACCATCAAAGGGCCACAAGTAGGGAGTGAGGCCTGATTCTCTGCACGAGAGACTGGCACGGCATGGACTAAGCTGTCCTCTGAAGATGCATCAGGCTCTGAAGCCTGAAGTGGACACAGGGATATAGACCTATGGGGTGCTGCAGAGCAGGCTGGACACTGTGCTGAGGGAATTCATGGGCTGTCAGGAGAAAGCTGGAGGTTGTGTAAATACCAGCAGCCTCAGCCCTTCCAGCTGTGAGTCACACGAATCATTAAACTACTCATATATCTCCTTATCTTTCACCTCTTCCCTCTTTTTATTGGAGTTATTCTCCAGTTCTGTTGTCTTTCATGTCACACCCTGTTTTCTCCAGTTTAGGATCTTTCCATAGCTGAGCTTATGTTGTGATTTGCAGGCCTTTCGCATCTCTGAAATGCTGTAAGCAGTGCTTCTGAACTGAATTCACCACATATTTGATCTAGGCAATGACATGGTGCTAAGCCAACTGGAAATGTTGCTTAAAAAAGCCCACAAACAAATAAGCCAAAATTTGAGAAACAAAATCAAAGACTTACACACAAAATGTATAGATGACTGGAATCACAGAATCTTTTGAGTTGGAAGGGACCCTTAAAGGTCACCTAGTCCAACTCCCCTGAAATGAACAGAGACATCTACAGCTCAACCTGCTCCTCGAAGTTTATGGCATATCCACAGTAAGTTAGTAATAACTAAGATTAAAAACATAATTGGGATCCCACCGACCAGGTGAAAGGGAACTGAAAACTCAGAAGTCTGCAGTAAGCTGCTCAGCCAAAGTGGGACTCCTAGCAACTCTCAGAGAGATTAACAGCTTGGTTTTGAAGTTGGAAGAAGACTTTCCAAAACAGAGCATGTTGCAGGGAGAGGTGCCAGTATCCTGCTGTGTGTGCCTGCAGCCGTGGTGCTTGGCTGTCACCTGCCCTTGTGTGAGGGGTGAGGGAGTGTTATGGGGAACAGCCTGCTCGCTTGCTTTCTGAAGAGATGGGAAGAACACAGCTGACTCTTTCTCTGAACGGGTAGGAAAGCATTGCCTCCTTCTCCAGTCCAGCAGGACTGATCATCTGGGGAAGAGGAAGCAATATATGGCTTGTTGTACGATGGGTGGTGTTGTATGATGATTATTGTTGCTTTGGAAAAGTTTGCTTTCTTTTCACTTTCTCCTGCCAGGTCAGAACAGGTATATCAAAAGGTCTGCTGCAAGCAGCTGGCTCAGGATCACAGTCTGTCATCTGGCCCCTGCACTCCTATATGCCCCAGTTCTTCTCCTGCATCATCTATCTGCACTTAGTGCAAGTGAAAACCAAAGCGATATCTAGTGTTAGTTGTGACCGAGCCAGGAACTCATTATATTTACAGTCCAAAATAAATGTTTATTATGTTTTGCAACAAATTCTCTGATTCTGTGTAATTCTTTTTGTAATCATCTACGAAGAACTGATATTAAGCACACACAGGCATGAAATGGCTTGTATTGTTTTCACAGGATTTCTTTTGATTGTGTTATCTGAAAGAAAAACAGACATTAAGAAAAAATCAGACACTGTCAGGCCCCACATCTGTTAAGCTTCAGTAGATTTGCTTAGGTCTCCAGAGTCCACCCTGTATTGATTTAAACATACATGTTCCTATATTTATATGAAGACTTTTGAAAGTGAGAGAACAAAAAGCTGTGGGCCCTACTCTAGGAGGTACACCCAAGCCTAGACTTCCAATAGAAGCACTGTAGGGCTTAAGTCCTTGATTTCGGTATATGTTCCACCAAATTAAGTGTTTAAAATTTCTGGAGAACTGGAATTTCCAGCGTGCCTGCAGATGGAACTGAAATTCCTTTTGTGCTACTGCTGATGTTTGCGAGGGGCTGGAAATCTGTAGTTATCTGGGACCAAGCCTGCTGAGGATGGAGGCCAGCTCCCCCAATGACCTGCTCCATATTCAGCAAAAGTTCACCGAAATCAAGGTACTTTGAGAACAACATTTTGGGTACAACATACTGGTTTTGTTTTTCTTATTTTTTTTTCAAATGAAACTATTTTGTCAAATACTTCCTGACCAGACCTAGTTTTGATTTCCTCTCCCCTTTTCCTGTAAGGAAAAAGGACAGGGATTCATTTTCACTTACCACGCTAGATCTTTTATGACTTAACAGCAACAGCAACAACAACAACAAACCAATATCAGATTTAATTCTAGACAACTCCTATCACGATCTTCCAAAGAATTGAGATAATCCAAACTAGAAATAGAAGGACTAACTGCTACCTACTCAATCTTTGTGATCACTATTTGTCCAAATTATATTATCAAGCACCTGATTATTTTCAAATATTCTGAAGAGCATATTTACTTCTCTTTAGATACTGCTCTCAAGGTACACTTACCTTGCTTGGACCTTGCTTAGCTTAAAAAAAAAAACAAAACAAAAAAGCATTGGTACAATTTTATCCTTTGTTAACATAATCAAATTACTTCTGCTAGTACCCCAGTCTGTCACATTAAGACATGCTTTACTGAGTTATGTTATCGTTATTTGCAATGCAGCAGTGTGTGAAGATTCAGCCAAAGACCGTGGGCCTTTCGTAAACCCTACACACGAAGGATCCATTATTCTTTTGGGTGCAGATACATCTCTCTTCGTAATTACATCCTGAGCTGTGACAAAGTGGCTGCCAGGCAACACAGCTGTCAAAAACACATTGCAGGGCAGTTGGAGAGCACAAGTCGAAGGAAATAATAGAAATGTTTGGGACACGAGGCATTGCACAGAACAGCTCTTCGTGTTCCTCATATCTGATTGTGCAGCACAGCCTCAGCTAAAACAGCATAATCCCACAAGGCTTGCAGTGTCCATGGAAAACCTCATCCAAGTTAGGCCTGACACTGAGGAGTACATTCCTGCCCTGTTCCTGTCTGTTATATCAGCAATAGGTCTCATGTGATGGGCCATAGCAGGCAGGTAAAATGGCTGAAAATGTTTTACAGTTGCCTTTCAGATGGATTAGTTCCCTGCTTCGGCTCATGCTATAGCCAGCGCCTGTTGGCACTAGCAGGAAAGAGGTGGCAGCAGCATGTGGCTGCACAGACCCTGCCCTTTCAGCAGGACCTGGCTCAGCGCTTTGCACTGCTTGTGAAGTCGCACGCACAGGATGCAACAGAGCTCTTTAATGACAGATGGCTGCTGAAAGGAGTACTTCTGCTTTCCCTCACTTGCAGGTTGCTGCTTGCCTCGATCCTGCAGCTGTGTGGTCACAAGGTGGATCAATTCAGCTCTGGACGATGGAAAACTCTATTTTTTCTGAAGTGTAATTTTTCCAGCAGATTGACCAGCTGGCTGGAGTCAGATGGGTACCAGGTTCAGCAGAGCACAAGCTCATGGGCTGCAGGCAGGATCATCTTTTTGCAGTGGTCTGCTGTCAGGTCCGTGAAGGTGAAAAGGAGGGATGCCATTGATTGACTGATTGATTAGATAAGAGTTAATGGCCTCAGACTGCACCAGATTGACTGGATAATCTTAGAGGTCTTTTTGAACCTTAAGGTTTCTATCATTCTATAATTCCAAGAAAGTCCAGACTACTGCTGCTGTATCCATGCAACGCACAACTCTGTGTCACATTGCTTTTAAAAGGAGCCATTCTGTGCCTCTGTGCCCAGACACATCTGCCACTCCCCTTCCAGTATGGATAACTCTGAGATCCCAGCTGAGTTGGCTTAGGAAGAACAAGTGACAAAAAATATTCTATATTCTAAAACACAGAAAAATATTCTATTCTATTCTATTCTATTCTATTCTATTCTATTCTATTCTATTCTATTCTATTCTATTCTATTCTATTCTATTCTATTCTATTCCATCCCGTCCCATCTTTTCATCTTTTTTTTTTTTTTTTTTTGGTGGTGAAGCCAGCTCCCTGTGGAGTTGGTTGGCTGGTGGTGGTGGTCACTGAGACTTTGTCCTCATGGTTGGGTCAGGAAGACAGCTTT